GGACTAGTACCCACCTCAACTCCAGCACCCCCAGAGTCCACAAACAGCGGCAGCGACGACGGCGGCGGCGGCGGCAGCGGCTGCAGCAACGGCCTCGACGGCGGCGGCGGCGGAGACGACGGCGGCAGCAGCTGCGGCGACGGCGGCTGCGGAGGCGGTGGAGGAGGAGACACCGGGGGAGGGACAGACGGTGAGGACTGCGCCAAAGGACTACCAGAGTCAGAAGACTCGTCGACCGGAACGACCGACGGGAGGGGGGTGACGTGAGACACACCAGAGGGGGCCGGACGGGGGGGCGGGGGGGGGGAGGGGCAGGGGCCACCAGGGAGGGAGGAACCAGGAACAGGGGGGGAGTAACCGGGGGACCACGGTGGGGAAAGCGGCGGTAGAAGGAGACGGACTCTTCAAAGGTGACGTCGCGAGAGTGAAAGAAACGGTGAGACGGCGGGTGGTAGAAGTGCCAGTCGGACGCGTCAAGGGGGAAACCAAGAAAGACGCAGGGGAGGGTGCGGGCAGTGAGCTTGTCCGTGCCAGAGGCACGAACGTGAGCAAGGCAGCCCCAGACGTGGAACGCAGACGCGTCACCAGGGGACCCGGTCCACAGAAGGGTCGGCGAAACCTGCGGCCGCTGGGGGTGCGGCCACAGGTTAAGCTGGTGAGCGGCGTAGCGCACGGCGAATGGCCACAGAAAATGGGGTGCACCGGCGTGGATCATGGAGGTGCGAGCCACCTCCATGACCAAACCGATGCGTCGCTCAGCGACCCCATTCTGCTGCGGGGAGTCCGGCAGGGTAAACGTCTGGGTGATGCCCTCCACACGACAGAAGCGACCAAGGACACCTGAGGCGAACTCGCCACCCCGGTCGGAGTGGAGGCGCAAGGCAGGGAGACCGCGGTGGAGACGAGCAGAGACAAGCCAGGGGATGAGAACGTCAGGCACATCGGCCTTCCGCTCCAGGGGAAAGACGGTGGTGTAACGTGTGAAGTCGTCGACAAGCACTAGGAAGAAGCGCTCGCGACGCGGCCCATGGACCGGGGCTGGGCCCCAGACGTCCATGTGCAGAGTCTGCAGGGGTGCGGTGGTAGGGGGAAAAGAGGAGGAGTGAGGGGCACGGCGGAGCCGGCCCTCGACACAAGGCGTGCACGGTGGGGCGGGGGATGAGGGAAACTCAGGGAACGAACTGGGGAGACCAAGGACGAGACCGTGCTGGGACATGTGGCGCAGACGCGGGAGTGCAGGGTGACCAAGGCGGTGGTGCCAAAGGAGAGTCGGATGAGTGAGGGACCGACAGGAGCACGCAGCAGCAACCTGGGTGGACGCAGCTACCTGGGGGGAAGACCCAGCCGGGGACGTCGCGGTGTCAAGTGTGAACAGGCCGGACACCGGGTCCCGGGGGAAAGTGGTAAGGGGGGCACCAGTGGCGGCCTCGGTACAGACAGCATACCGCTCGTGACCAGGGAACGTAGTGGTGACGCCAAGGTCCTGGAGGCAGCCGACACCAACTAGGTTCCTGGAGAACGAGGGGATATGCAGACCGGTGAGCGAACCTGAAGGAACCGCCGGACAGGGAAGGGAGGTGGAACTGCGGGCAAAGACGGGACCACCGGAGGGGTCAGCAAGAGTAACTGCAGCAGGAACAGGCAGCGGCGTCCGCGTCGTGGAGTCGCGGAAGAAACACCGGGAGGCGCCAGAGTCCAAGGTGAAGGAAAGCGCAGCAGTCGCGCGGGGCGACAGTGAAGCGGTGGAAGCACCGAGGCTAAGCAAAGCAGGAGATCCTACGCCTGACGCAGCAGGGGAGTCTACGCTAGGCACAGCTACACTAGGCAACACGGGGTAATAAGAGGGAAGCACACTAGAGTCATCGGCATACATCACATGCAAGGCTGCTACAATGGCATCCATGTCCAAGTCAAAAATCCGAATGCTACGCCTAAGCAAGCTGTGCCAGTCCGGGAGGTCGGGCGCCGGGCCAAAGCGCTGGCGGAACAGGTCGTCCAGACGACGAAAACAGCGAGGAGTGGAATGACCGATCTTACCGCAAACGAAGCCGCGGCGAGGACCGGTCTGGATCTGGTACTGACAGGGCCCGCCTCCAGAACCACCACCCGGTGCACCACCACGCGCACGACCACCACCAGCTCCAGGCCACCCAGGCGGGAGAGCACTCGCCGGCCTCGTCTGCGGCGGCTGCTGCGGCTGCTGCGGAGGCTGCTGCTGCTGCGGCTGCTGCAACGGTGGAGGCAGCGGGGCAGCTGGACCGGGCAGGGTCCCCACGTCCGCACCGGCACAGGACGACCCGCCTCCACCACTACCCCCACCCGCACCCCCGCCACCTCCGCCGCTCCCAACCTTGGGGCAGCGGCCCTTCCCCGAGCGGGACTGCACTGCAGCAGCAGTCTCAGCCACAGCGACAGAGCCGTCGGAGAAGGTACACTGAGCGGGGGCACAACCCTGAAAGATAGGGACCGGTACCGTACCGCTCGCCTGGGCTATGGAGCGGTGACGAGTCTCTATGGCAGTCAGGGTGTCAACAAAGTCGGTGAGGGTGAGAGCAGCAGGGTGGATGCTAAGGAACTGGTCGCGGGCGGCGGCAAGGCGGTCAGGGAGGCGGGTGGCAAGGAGGTAGAGGGTAGAGGTCATGGGAGGCTGGTGGACTCTAAGCTGTGCATCAGTGCAGGCAGCGCGCCAGGCCTCATCTATCGAGCGCAGGTGGGCAGCGAGGTCAGAGACAGTGGGGAAGGACGCCAGGTCAGGAAAGAGCAGGGGGAGGATCAGGCGACCCACTGAGGCAGCAGGAGGGGTAGAATAGCGCTTGATGACAGCATCGAGGTAGGCCTGGGCAGTAGTAATGGTTCTAAAGCGAGGGCGCTCAAGGGGGGGGAGGGCATTGCTAATGGCGAGCTGAGCAAGGGCATCGCGGGAAAGCCGGACAGAGCGGGCAAGGGCAGCGGCGGCAGTGGACTCGCGCTCAGCGGGCGTGGGATCAGCGGGCAGCACAGCAGGGGGGTCAGGGCAGGGGAGCATACCGTCTAGGTGTGCAGAAAGCGGGTGGCCGTCCTGCCGCTGACCAGTGAGGTGGCGGCGAAGGTCAGCCAACCACGCCTCGAACTCCAGAGGCTGACCCTCAGCATCAAAACGAAGCTCAGCAGCCATGAGGGGCAGTGGAGGACAGTGGAGTGCGGTATAGTGCTGTGCAGTGCGGTGCAGGGCGGTCAGTGCGGTTCAGTGAGGTGCAATGCGGTGCAAGGCGGGGCAGGAAAGTGCAGGAGGGTGCAAAGTGGTGCGGGGAACGGGGGACAGTACCAGGAAGTATGGAGGGCCGGGGCAGGCGCGACGGGGCCGGGCAGGCGCGACGGGGCCGGGCAGGCACGTCGAGGCCGGGCATGCGCGACGGGGCCGGGCAGGCGCGACGAGGGGCCGGGCGGCTGCGACGGGGCCGGGCGGCAGCGACGAGGCCGGGCGGCTGCGACGGGGCCGGGCGGCTGCGACGGGGCCGGGCGGCTGCGACGGGGCCGGGCGGCTGCGACGGGGCCGGGCGGCAGCGACAAGGCCGGGCGGCAGCTACGAGGCCGGGCGGCAGCGACAGGGCCGGGCGGCAGCTACGAGGCCGGGCGGCAGCGACAGGGCCGGGCGGCAGCTACGAGGCCGGGCGGCAGCGACAGGGCCGGGCGGCAGCGACGGGGCCGGGCAGGACACAGCAGGGCCGGGCGGGGGCGACGGGGCCGGGCGGGCGCGACGGGGCCGGGCAGGTGCGACAGGGGCCGGGCAGCTGCGACAGGGGCAGGGCGGGCGCCACGGGGCCGAGAGGCCGCAACAGGGCCGAGCTGGGGCGACGGGGCCGAGCAGGGGCGACGGGGCCCAGGAGGGTGGATACGGGGCCCAGGGAGGAGCGCGGCAGGGCCCAGGAGGGGCGCAACAGGCCCAGGAGGGGCGCTACGGGCCCAGGAGGGGCGCAATGGGGGCCCAGGAGGGGCGCGGCGGGGCTCAGGAGGGGCGCAATGGGGGCCCAGGAGGGGCGCTACGGGCCCAGGAGGGGCACTACGGGCCTAGGAGGGGCGCAACGGGGCCTGGGAGGGGCACGACGGGGCCCAGGAGGGGCGCTACAGGGCCCAGGGAGGGCGCGACGGGTCCCAGTAGGGGCGCTACGGAGCCCAGGAGGGGCGCGACGGGGCCTGGGAGGGGCGTTACGAAGCCCAGGAGGGGCGCTACGAAACCCAGGAGGGGCGCGACGAGGCCCAGGAGGGGCGCTACGGGGCGCTACGGGGCCTGTGAGGAGCGCGACGGGGCCCAGGAGGGGCGCTAAGGGGCGCGACGGGGCCCTGGAGGGGCGCTACGGGGCCCAGGAGGGGCGCGAAGGGGCGCGACGGGGCCCTGGAGGGGCGCTACGGGGCCCAGGAGGGGCGCTAGGGGGCGCGACGGGGCCCTGGAGGGGCGCTACAGAGCCCTGGAGGGGCGCGACGGGGGCCTGGAGGGGCGTTACGAAGCCCTGGAAGGGGGGCGCGACGGGGCCTGGAGGGGCGCTACGAGGCCCTGGAAGGGGCGCGACGGGGCTAGGGGGAAGGGTCGCGACTGGGCTCAGGAGGGGCGAGGCGAGGCTAGGAGACGCGACGGGAGGAGCGGAAGCGGTAGGTGGAGGGGGGGGGGGGGGGGGGGGGGGGTCGAAACCTACTCGTGATACCATATCAAACCTAGAATTGAATAATGTAAGAGAGAGAGAGTACACAAACATATACCTAAATGTTGTACTCTCTAGAAGGTGACCCTATACAGTCTATACAAACATGATAACTACACATGTTTGACACTAGATTCCCTCCTCCCGCCCCTGCAATCTTGCTCTGCTATGCGATTGGATTGATCGGCGAAATTTGATTGGCCGCAGCTTCGTGCAAGTGTCGCCACAAAAATTGATGGCTTCAACATTATCATGATTCCCGCGGGAATCCTCCCTCCCTACATTACCCCCCCACTTTATCCCATCCCTGCCCTCCCCGAATGTCGTTTTGCCCATCTCCCAATTTTCGCCAAATCAGCGTGAAATTCTGAAGTAACCCTGATTACTCAGCGGATTTTTTTTTGGGAGGCCTGAAAAATCAGGGTAAACATGGGGGGGGGACCCTGAGCAATCAGGGTACCTTAAAACCAATCTGAGGCCCTGTAAAGCACCCTTTCCACAAATTATTACAGGTGAGACCGTTCCTTTGTACGTAACCAAGATTACCACCTCCAAGGCTGTATTTCCACACCAGACTAGCCCTTTTCCCCCACTCCCACTTACCCCCTCTCCCCTAATGGCAAACAAGTCAAGCAAACCGCATATGGATGCAACCATCTTGTGACCTCGTTCGATGGGCTCTTGCATGTTTGCTTGGAAACAAACAAGCATTGCCCCAACCCAACCCAATCGTTGCCTCTACTTCCCACTCAAATGCCCTTCTTCTGCCCTCTCCCCATCAACCTACTCTCGTCATTTCATTGCCCACTTGCCACCTCCTCACTCCCACCTCCCCCTTCCCTCTCCTTCCCACTCCCTCTCTCCCTCTCCTTCCCACTCCCTCTCTCCCTCTCCTTCCCGCTCCCCCCTTCCTTCTCCTTCCCACTCCCCGCTTTCCGAAACGAGGCCCACAAAGGCTTAAAGCCAGCACCCCACCTCTCATCCCCTCTCAACCCACCAGCCCCCCCAGCAGTAAGTGCGGAAATCCTAGCAGCAGTAGCAGGCCTCATCCCCCCTGTGGCTCTCTCCTGCACCGACGGGCTGCGGAAGACACTTAAAGCCCCCTTGAGCATCGGAGACATTTGCCCCGATTTCAGACGCATGCGCATGTATCCCCTCTCCGGAGCCTGCTGCCGAGCCTGCTGCTGAACGATCTCCTTCCCGCCCGAACCTGCAGGTCCGGTGAGTGAGGTCCTGTCTGTTGAAGAATCATCCTGATCCTCACTATCTGGTAACGACTGCAGGGGAAATAGACTATCGAATTGGGCTCGTTGGCCCTTGATGCGGTTAGCTGCGTCTTCGAATGGATTGCTGCTGCTGCTGCTGCTGCCACTACCAGTACCGGTACCGAAGCTGGTGCCAAATAAGTTATCGCCACCATTCCCCCCAGCACCACCAGGATAGAACCCAGCAACGGAGCCGGGAGAAAAACTGGCAAATCCCCCTCCAGCAGCACCAACAGGAAACCCCCCAGCAACCGCGAATTCGCCTGCAGCAGCAGCAGAGCTGCCACTGTCAAGCCTCTGGCTGCTGCTCTGCCCGTTCCCTCGTGCACCTCCCCCTATCTTCCCTGCACCCAGATCACTACCCTCCAGACTGCTGCTATCAAGAACACTGAGTGCACCCTCACTCCCCCCCATGCGCCTGTGCCCCTCCCCAAATCTCCGCCCCCCACCTCCTCCCTGACCCCCTGCTGCCAGGTGCCCTGTCAGGTGAGGGTTCAGGTGGGGGTCCACTGGAACGACTGTAGCTTCTGACGAGGGCTCCGTGTGTGACAGAGTGAAACGGTGCTTTCTTCCAGAGACGGATCCCGGGAAACTTACACCTTGCCCCGTGCCTTGTGCTGCTGCTCCTGATCCGTCCCCCCCACTACTCTCGCCTCTCCCCTCCCCTTGCTCCCACTCCTCCCCCTCTGCTGACCCCTCGCTCAGCGTTCCCCCTACTCCTGGCCGTGGGAAAGCCCGCGCCTGCTGCTGCTGCTGCTGCTGCTGCTGCTGCTGGGCCTGAGCCGCTCCTTTTCCCCCTCCCCCCCCACCTTTTCCCCCTGATCCCCCGACCTGACTGGAACGAGCCCCGCATACTCCTGAGGCACCAGGAGCATCTGACACGCCGCTGCCGACGCCGATCGTCCCCCCATGGGCGCAAACACGGCCGAGTGCGAATGCGACGGGAATAGCCCCATCCCCTTCGCATGCTGAGCAAAATCCAGCAACGGACTGTTACTCATCGCCCCTCCCCCTCCTCCCCCTCCACCCTCCACTCCTCCTCTCCCTCCTCCTACCCCTCCTGTGCTGCTAGCAAACCCTAACCCTAGCCCTAGCTCGGGGCCGATACCGAGGCCTCGGGCGTTGGTTGTCATCGAAGGCGGCTGGCCTCTCGTTTTGAGGTACCACTCCTCGTCGTCCTCATACTCATCATCCCGACCCGATCGTGACACCACGAGCTTCTCCCCAAAGTCCCCCGCTTCGAAATCGGCCATCATGTCGGAAAGCTCGCTCATCAGACTATCTCTTGCACTCATTTGCGAGCTCAGCGCCCCCCTCTTCCCGCCTTGACCTGCGCCCCTTGTCCCCCCAGGGGAAGCGAATCCGTCAGTGCCGCTGCTGCTGCTGTGCTCAGATGCGCCTGTACCCGTTACAAGCCTGCTGCTGGCTCCGTTACTGTCACTGCTGGGGTCCGGCGGGTCCAGTATATCCGGTTCGAAAACATTCTTTTTATTCACGAGATAAGCGTGCGGGGCGTCGGGGTACAGTTCCAGCACTGTGCGCTTACGGAGTCTGCCTCTAGCGGATCGGACCACCTCCTTGAAAGTGGCTTCTAGGCAATCCGCTAGGAAGGTGGGGGCGAAATGGGCGGAGAAAGAGCGTGGCATCTTGGCCAAACGACCTGATGGGAAGGGGGATGTTTCACTGCTGCTAATGTTGCTGCTGCTGGTGGTGGTGGTGATAGGGCCACTGTCGCTGCTGCTGCTGGTGGGCCCAACCGGCGTGGCATTGGTGTCACTGCTGCTGGCGTTGGATCGCGAGCTAGGAGTTGCGGGGGCTGCCAATAGTGCAGCTGACGCAGGCGAATCAGCGCGAGGAGGGACTGTAACAGTTACACAGTTACACTTGTTCGCCACAGGGGCGCCCACCGGCTTCAGCGGCTGGCGAAGCGAGTGTGAGAGAGCGTGCGAGTGGGAGCGGGGGTGCGGGAGCGCGGTAGCGTGTGAGAGAGTGAGGGAGAGAGTGTGGGAGAGAGTGTGGATGACGGTGGTTCTTAGCTGGGTGAGGATTTGGAAGGCTCGGGACCGGTCTAGGGCGTCGTCTGCCACGGCGAAGGCGATCACGCCCTGACCGAACGAGAGGAGGAGGTTCGTCCGGCCATAGCCCTGTTGGCGTGGGGTGCCGGCAAGCGGGACGACATGGGGGGGGATTGGAAAAGGGCGCAGTTTAAGGGGAGCGGGAAATGGATCCGGAAGGCTCTGCACCAGTCTAGGGCGTCGTCTGCTGCGGCGAAGGCGATCAGCCCTGACCGAACGAGAGGAGGAGGCGGGTGCAGCCGTAGCCCTGAGGGGGCAAATGTGAATGAGGGAGGCGTGGGGGAGGAAGAGGAGAAGTAAAAAAGAGACTGCGGAAGGGGAGGAGGGGGAAGGGAAGATAGTGAGAGAAGTTGAGGCAGACGCAAGGGGCTTAGGAGGCGGTAGGAGAGATTCTGGAAGGGTCTGCAGCGGCCTAGGGCGTCGTCTGACAGGGCAAAGGCGATCGGGCCCTGACCGAACGAGAGGACGACGGTTGGTCCGGCCGTATCCCTGTTGAGATGGGGTGCAGGGGTAGCGAATGCGGGAAGGGGGGAAGTGGGAATGGGGGAGGGGGAAAGGGGAAAGAGGGAGGGAGAAGGGGGGGAGCGAGCAGGGAGTGGAAGGGACATGATTCGAGGCGAACGAAGGAGAGAGGAAGAGGTTGGGGCGGCCGTAGGCCTGATGGGGTGGGGAGTGGGCAGAAGGGAATGGGAAGGGCGAGAGGTTGGTGAGACGGCGATCAGGCCCCGCCCGAAGGAGAGAGGAAGTGGTTGGGGCGGCCGTAGCCATGTTAGGTTAGCGAAGTAAGCGCATGGGAGCGAAAGGGAGGAGGGGAAGAAGCGAGAGGGGGTTATGCGGCGCCTCAAACTTGCCTTGACCGAATGCGACGGAGGGGAAGAGGCGAAGGAGCGGGAAAGGAAGTGGGGAAGGGGACGGGGGAGGGCGGGAGCGGAGTAGTTAGGTCAGTGAGGCCGACCCTACCGTCTGCTGGATATCTTATTCGAATGTGGAGGGAGTTACAGTAGAACAGAAAAAAGAGAGCAACCCCCCCATTCATATGCAATCGCTGTCGTCCGCTCCGTCGCAGAGTCGCAGAGTCGCAGTGTCGCAGTGTGTCTAAAAAGGACGCTTGGTTCAGTGAACCAGTCAAGCCTCGAACTTATCGTCGTCTGCTCAAATATACTCATTACAGGACTCGGGCCTTCGACAATACTTTTCTCTTCTTTCGTTACGAGAGCGAACCCTGACGGTTAGGGTTACGACTCATACAAATCTGTTACTTCTACGCGGCAAAATTAGGGATTCTGGTGGAGCGGAATGCGGACAACATGATGCGACGCGGAGATTTTAAGAGTATCTGCTACAGTGTCAGGGAGTCGCTAAGAGTATCTGCTACGGTGCCTCACCAGGGAGTATCTGCTACAGTGTCGGGGAGCGTCTGCCAGCACGGCAGAGACGGCGCTTCGTAGAATCTTCTTGTGCCGCCCAAAATCGACGAGAACAGATGGACCCCGCGCTATGCCGATGTAAAACACGAGCTGCGTCTCACGATCTTTGTCGGGATGCGGAGGCGCCTGACCCGGCGAGTTTTCCGTCGCATCCCACGCGCTGGGAGTGAGCGACGACGCGAATGTGAAGAGTATAACTGGCTCTTTTGGGGGGAGTCTGTCGCGCCTCGACACTCTACCCATCCTTAAACCTTGTTGATATCGCTTCTTAAGCTGAATGCGTCATAGAAATTGTACGGGAAGGAGGCGTTTTGCGAAATGACGGATAGTGGCTGTGCGGCGAACTGGCCGCGACGTGCTCGACCTCCCGTGCATGTAATGATGATGCTGACGACGGTCGAAAGGAACCTGCTGCGCTTCGATATAGAGAGAAACCGTGACACCAGAACGCGGCCTGCTCAGCGTACCGCGGATGGGTAAAATCCTACGATACTACACCGCCAGATGCACCTTCCGAGGTTCGAACCTGACGCTCCTTTCTAGAGTGTGGAGGTGGTGACTGGTAAGGTAGGGCTAAGGTGAGGATACAGCGCTGAGATAGTAGAAGCTAGCTGGTTCCAGGCTGGTGAGTGGAATTGAGATAAGCTACAGCTGTCAGTGGGAGACCTCGATTCTGCAACCTCGAATTTCAGGGCGTGTACTACGCATATGGCCGAATGCGGTCTAGTAAGATGAATTGCGTTTCAAAGGATTAAATGTTTTTTTTTAACGGTTCGGTAAGGTATTAACCGAAAACGGACGCTTAGGACATGCCCTCAGCCCTTAGGACTGTCATAGTTCCTACATATTCCCCCCTCATCTCTCAACTCTCAACTCGTTGATACTTCTTCCAACTCCCTGCTCTACGAATCTCAGGACATGGATCCTAGGGTAGCGCAACCCAGAATTGCGCAACCGGATGCGGTATTGGCGAAGTTTTTGCCCGGAGATTGTTATACGAAAACACGTCGAGATGATTACGAAACGCGTAACCAGACCCGATTGCGCAACTCAGTCGGTATGCGCAATCCTAGGCTCCACGGCCCTTTCCCTGTCCCTTCCCTTATCCTTTTGCTCTTGCTTTGAATCTGTCGCCCAGAATTCCCGGGTTTTCTGTATTGGCCTCATGCATTCACCTGTTTCTCTTCAACACTCCGGGCAGTCTATGAAGTTTATATGGAATTCAGACAATAACATCATAATTACAACTCTCATTCACTTAAGCCATCCAATTATTCCAACCCACTTCAACGAACTATAAAATGATATATATATTATTGAAGTTACCATCATAAGCATTCATTAGTTTTCGTGAAGCCATATATAGTTAAAAGTAGATCTGGAATCAATATAAATATACCTCAATGACACCTGAAGAAAAAGTTTAGGAGGTATCCATGTGCGGTCGTCATTTCACTCCAATACCCTCTGAATCCTATCCACTCAGGTCCCCATAGACTTCTCACACCAGACAATTTGCAGGGGATTCCAAAAGGAATGTGTCGGAGTTGTGTGGACATATTGAGCGCGAGTGCATGGAAGTCTGAAAACAAGCACTTTGTTCCTGTACAGCAGGATTCCTCAAGCTGCAGAACCAGGCCTCTCGATAACCTAGGGGTCACCCTTCAGAAACCAAGTTTGCCCGGGATCCAACTCGTCCAGGCTGGGTAGCCCTAAAACTTTTGACTTTTTGCAGGCCAGAGTTTCGACCAGCTCGTAATGTGCCACTCCTGACAATGACAGGGGAGCCATTTTTTTCCAGGGGTGCGAACTTTTACATTACATTTTACAGGATGAGTCCACCCCCTTCTCGAAAATCGGCCGTGGAATGATTTTGGCTAGCCTGTGCATGGACGGGTATCAATATTCTGAATGCGTCAAAAGCAGGAATAGTTCGACATGTTACCATGTTTTCCTTGACAAATAAGTATAATTACCCTGACTTCCAGAGGCCTGTACAGAACCCTTTTGAACAACTGAAGATTCTCCAGCCTGGCGACTGAACAGTGGGCATGAGAAACAAACACGCCTGGTTGCGACAGAGGCCCACCGCTCCAAAGCCAGCCTGTTCAGCGCATCTCCTCCAATTGTCGGATCCGCCGCGGCAGGAAGGGCTGGCTCAACAACGCGGCGAATTTTGTTGTCAAACATTTCCACATCACAGAACAACACGACCCCGCTTAAAAATATTTCGCTCCTTCGATAGTTAGCCTACGCACCACGTGTACTCTCTACTCTACACAAATACAGCATAAAACAATTTCCTCATTAAGTATATTAGTATGCATTCCCCACGACAACTAGTGTAGTACTTGACTTCAGCACATGATTCCTAACGTTCTCCGTTCCGCGGATCTCAATGTAGTATACACTTAACGAGCTGTACACCTCCCCTCACCAAGTATGCCTAATACCATCGTCCCTATACAACACCCGGAACCGCTTTACTATCATCTCTCTGATAGCCGTGCCGCCACCGTTCTCAGCTTAGAGTACACCTTGCCAGCTGGCGACCCGAGGATGAGCGAGCAGAGCGCGTCTCGCGCCACGCGGATGTTCGCGTACGCCCCGAGCACGTGGATCTTGGAATCGGCAATCACGACTCGTGTCCGTGTGGCGTTTTCAATCGTGAATTTGGTCTTGCCGTTCTTGCCAGATAGGCGTCCAATGGCTCGTGATAAATGCTCTCCTCTTAGCGTCTTCACGTCCTGTTGGGAACAGGCGAGGTGGAGGGGGGTGTCACGTAAATGGGGGGGCGAAAACGGGTAGAGTGACCATCAGTCAACACATCACATTGAAATTCCTGATGCCTAGTCAAGACTTCAGTCTCAAGACTGAAAGTGTTGACTGAACTCTATTCAGTCTCTAAAAGGCTCAGCCAACACTTTCAGTTGCAAGGCGATGGCGTCCGTGAGGCTGAACCCATTATATAAACCGACTTCTGTCCTTTCATACCTCATCTTGAACAACTCAACATAAAGGTCATTGCTTCTCAGCATAGCAATATCGTCTGTCAGGCTGAACCCCACCATGTACATCGTCATGAAATCATCACACCCTTAGTCTTGAACGACTCTATATGGAGGTCATCTATCCTCTGCATAGCAATAGCGTCTGTGAGGTTAGAACCAATCGTGTCGGCCGTCACAAAATCCGCGCACCCGTCTGACCTTCGTCACCCCCTTCGTCCTCTCTCACTCTGTTGACCTCTCTCACTCTGTTGACCTCTCTCACTCTGTTCACCTCTCTCACTCTGTTGACCTCTCTCACTCTGTTCACCTCTCTCACTCTGTTCACCTCTCTCACTCTGTTCACCTCTCTCACTCTGTTCACCTCTCTCACTCTGTTCACCTCTCTCACTCTGTTCACCTCTCACCTTAATCTCGAAAGACTCTATATAGAGGTCGTCGATTCTCAGCATCGCCATGCCGTCAGCGGCGCTGAGCCCGTCATGCAGGTGGTTGCTAAGTCCGTACCCCACCCACCCCACCCATTGACCACCTTTACCCTTCTGACCACTCTCACCTTTATCTCGAGTGACTCTATATAGAGGTCTATCTATCTATCCTGAGCATCACGATATCGTCCGCGAGGCTGAACCCCATCATGTACGCCGTCAAGAAAAGCGCACACCACTTTGATCTCTGTCTCCGCGTTGACCTCCCTCACCTTAACCGCGTTGACCGTCGATTCTCAGCATGGCAAGCAAGGGTGCCCATGAGGTTTTAAGCCCACCCATCCCACCCAATGACCACCTTTCCCCTTCTGGCCACTCTCACATTTATCTCGAGCCTACCATGTCGGCCACCATGTCGGCCACCATGTCGGCCACTGCGAAATCCGCACGCGACACCTCTCGGACCTTTGTCAACAGGCCCGTCTGGCCCCTCTCGGACCTTTGTTACCACGTTGGCCTGCTTCTCACCTTGATTTCGAATGACTCGATATAGTGGTCGTCTATCCTCAGCATGGCAATGGCGTCCGTGAGGCTAAACCCCATCAGGTACGCCGTCACGAAATCCGCACACCCTGTTGTTGACCACCTTTACCCTTCTGACCACTCTCACCTTGATCTCAAACGACTCGATATAGAGGTCATCGATTCGCAGCATGGCTATAGCGTCCGTGAGGCTGAACCCCATCATGTACGCCGTCACGAAATCCGCGCATTTCTGCAGCGCGGATGGGTCCGCCGTGTCCCTCCGCGTCTTCAGCTCCACCTTGCGCGACTGGAGGGGCGGCGGAGGGGGGGGGAGGGAGGAGGGGGAGAGGGGGAACCCGAAGGGGGTGTGGGAAAGGGGGACTCAAAAGGCATCCAGCCCTTCTCGCTCCGCGCCTTGAGATTCATCCACCGCTCCTCACCGTAATGTCCCAGTAACTCACGGACTGACTATTTAAACACCTTCGCGATTTTCACCTACCTTAAAGTTCAAGCGATTGTCGATCGTCATGTGTCCCAACACCGGCGTGTAGATGTCCATCCGCCGCTCCTCGCTTTACAGGGTTACCAGTAACTCTCGCATTGACCTCTACACTGCATTCTCGTTTCACGCACCTTCAGCTTCATGCGGAAATCAATCTTCATCTGTTCGAACACCGGCGCGTAGATGTCCATCCACCGCTCCTCACCTTGTGGTTACCAGTAACTACACCCAGTTCCTGCCGATATTAATCTTCCATCTGTTCGACCATCGAACTGTAGCTGTCCATAACGATGACGGTTGACTCGAAGGGTACTTAGCCATAACTTTGGGGTAATTCAGGAGTTACCTTTCCTCTATGCGCACCTTCAAGTTCATGCGGATATCAATCTTCATCTGTTCGAACACCGGAGTGTAAATATCCATCCACCGCTCTTTAAGCGGCGTGTAGCGGTGCGGCGGCACGGGGATCTTGCGGAACTCGAACTTGCTTCCCCCCATCTCCGCCGCCGTTAACGCCGAGAATTTCGGCTTCGGCGGCAGTTTGCCGGCCGCCGGCGCAGCTGCCGGTGGGGCCGCCGCTGTCGCTCCGTTCTGCGAAGGCGCGTCGACCTCCATGGCGTTTCGAGCAGCCTCGAAACAGATTTAGCTCGCGATTTCCGCGGAACTAGGGGACCTCCTAAGCCGACTAGAAGCCAGAAAGCTTTTGCAGAATACACCAGGTGGAGGGAGGCGAGGTGTTGGACGGTCCGGGAGTAAGATAGCCGGTGCTAGAGCGCAAAGGACGGGGAGGGAGGAGGGGGAAGCAGCAAACCCTAAAGCAGCAAGCGCGGAAGGGCGGGAGGAAAGGAGGGCTTTGGGGACGGGGATGTGGTTTTAAAGGGTTCGGCAGGATGGTCCTGGGCTGACGCGCATACGCGATAGTGAAAGTACTCTGTACTGCATACACTCCACTCTGTTCATTTACAATATGATAAATAATCGTAACTACCAAATGCAAATCCCCCTCATGAACCTCATTATTCCTTGCCAGGATCGAACATTCCAAATATACATTTCCAAAAGAGAAATCGTATTTAAAAACAATTGTTACGCCTAATATTCCTTGCTTAGCACACCACACTGTCACCCTCAACAGCCGCCTCAGGAGCAGCAGAGGCGATGGAGATGAGAGGCGACCCGGTTGCAAACATGAGGGCCTCCTCCGCTGCCACCAGGCGCGCCCGCCTCTTCTCCCTCTGCTGCCGGAACTTCTCCCGGTTCCTCACCTTCCGGCTGTCAGGGTTCTCCTGCCTCTCCTCCGTTACCGGGTACACGCTCACCTGGAGGAACGAAACGCAATGTCAAAGGGGGGTTTGAGGTTGAGATTGAAATTGAGGGTGGGACAGGAGAGAAAGGGGAACACAAACTGGCCGCAGATTCCCTCCGCCACCTTCCGGCTGTCAGGGTTCTCCTGCTTCTCCTCCGTTACCGGGTACACGCTCACCTGGAGGAACGAAATGCCACGTGAGAGGGAAGTTGCGGTTGAGGGGAGTTACAGGAGAGAAAAGGAAACACTACCTGGAAGCAACTTCCCTCCCTCAAACGCTAAGCAAACATCCCCATGGAACTAAAACACCTCTAGACAGTCTCACATGGACCTGCATGTTGTACCTGATTTTTGAGAATTCTACAAAATAAACTTCCCTCCCTCACACTCTAAGCCACCATCCCCATGGAACTAAACCTCGAGACAGTCTCACATGGACCCGCCATTGCGAGTAGAGTAGGTGGATGGACGAAAGGCTTGACGACAGCAGATTAGAGCTTTGACTGGTGCTGTTCAGGTAAGATCGTTCAGACACCTTTCACATGTATTCAGTCCAAATCCTATCAGACGCAACCAATTATTGGAACGTTACAATCCCATCTCGATACTGGGAAAGACAGACGTTACACTGATTTTTCCTTACATTCTCCGTCTGCCTTTCCGCCTGCAAGCTCTCTCTTTCCTCTCGGACCAGAAGATCCAGAAGATCCAGAAGATCCAGAAGATCCGGCCATGCCATGCGAACGCGAAGACTAAGCCTGATGTTTGTCCCTCGGCTCCCTCCCCTCCCCTCCCCTCCCCTCCCCTCCCCTCCCCTCCCCTCCCCTCCCCTCCCCTCCCTAACCTGTGTTCTCACACGCTCCCTCCCCTTGATAGTATATTTTTTTCTGAGACGTCTCAAACCAAATCTTCGATCAAGTTTTCACACTCTCCCTCCGCTCCCTCCACAGTTCCACTCATACGCCTTTCATGCTCCCGAAATCCCTCGCCCTTCTCGTCATCCTGCTTCCGCACTTCCCGCGGTAACTAGTCGAGCTAAACCGATACCTTGTGGCGCTCAAAGGATGTCGAAACACTCACCTTCTTCCTCTTGTCGGGGCCGTACTGCTCGAACTTCACGAGGCCGTCCACAAGCGAGTACAGAGTGTAGTCCTTGCCCACGCCGACGTTGGTGCCTGCGTGGAACTGTGTGAGTGGGAAAAAGGCAGCCAAGACGAGAGACAGTGAGAGTAAGTGATGGGGATTAACGATTGGAATCGCCGTAAGGTGTGACATGAGTCGACACAACACCCACGCCATCGACGTTGGTGCCTGAGTGGAACTGCGTGAGGGAAAAAGGCAGCCAAGAAGAGAGAGAGAGTGAGAGGAAGTGATGGGGAGTAGCGCCTGGAATCGCCGCAAGGTGTGATATGAGTCGACACAACGCCCACGCCACTGCGCGAGGGAAAAAGACAGCCAGGGCGAGAGAGAGAGAGAGAGAGAGAGAGAGAGAGAGAGAGAGAGAGAGAGAGAGAGAGAGAGAGAGAGAGAGAGAGAGAGAGAGAGAGAGAGAGAGAGAGAGAGAGAGAGAGAGCGATGGGGAGGAGCAATTGGAAACGCCGCAAGGTGTGATATGAGTCGAAGCAAAGCCCACGCCGACATTGGTGCCTGCGTGGAACTGCGTCAAGGAAAAAGACAGCCCAGACGAGAGAGAGCGATGGGGATCAGCCATTGGAAACGAAGAGACGCGTTTCAAGAGGAGGGACGAATGGGAGAGCGAAATGAAGCCGTGCCATGGAGCTTAGGGCGATCGGATTCTATTTTTGAGGCGCCTCAAAATTAGGGCGATCGGATTTTCGATTTTCCAGCGTCAGGCGAAATGGATGCAAGGAGTCGACGGCTAACGTCCCGCGGAAAACGCCTTCTTGCGTCTCGCGGAAGGCGAACGTCCCGCGGCTCATCGTATGGCAGGCATGCTCGGACACCTGGAGAAGTGGATCGCGGCATGCCGATGGTCTAAAAAGTCGATTACGACTCAAAACACGCAGAAAGTAATGTCAGGACTACAACTTGCTCGAGACTTCTAGAGAGGATAACAGCCAGCGGTTGCGTCGCCTTCTGAAAGCCCTAAAGCGCTACTACCGGGTGTCTTCGAACAGTCCGTCTTGCGTCTTTCAAAGCGCTACTACCGGATGCCTTCGAACAGTCCGTCTTGCGTCTTTCAAAGAGCTACTACCGGATGTCTTCGAACAGTCCGTCTTGCGTCTTTCAAAGCGGTACTACCGGATGAGGGACTGTTCGGAATACTACCGGACTATCCCGAGGTGTTTGTTGCAATCGCGAACAGTCCCTCGTCCCTCGGAGTGCTACCACGGAAAAGCTATGATGTTGCAGCACTGTCCTAAAACCACTGTCTAGTAGATGAATCTAGTGGACTATTTGTCCTCGATTGTGTTTTGTTTTTGAGAATTCTCAAAATCAAAACAAATCCTATTTGTCCTCGATTCTTGCCCACGGAAAAGCTATGAAGTTGCAGCACCGTCCTAAAACCGCGAAGTCCGTCATACGCCAATGCGGCACTCTGCTAAAGCCACTAGGTCTTTCATACACCAATGCGCCATTTGAGTCGACTCAGATACAGCGATTGTATGTAGCGAAAGAGACGAAGCTAGGGGACCTTCACAAACCCTAAGGTGCTAAGCTACTCTATTCCGCATTTACCGTTGTGCCACGTTGGCGGATGATAATGCTCCCCGCCTTGGCCGGCTGGTCGCCGTACACCTTGACGCCTAGCCGCTTAGCCTTGGAGTCACGGCCGTTCTTCGTGCTGCCGGAACCCTTCTTGTGCGCGGCCTCGATGGTCAGCGGCGCGCTGCGGGTGGTGGGAACGAACGAAACCCTAGCGGAGGCGGGGAGGACCGCCTCGCCGGAGAGAGCGGCGGAGCTGCTCAGCGAGGAAATGCTGAGCTTCTGGAACATGGACGAGACGGCCGCCATGGCTTCGCGCTGCGTGGTGCGTGCTGCGTCAGGGAGAGAATTTCTACGCGACGGTGAGAGAATGAGGTGCGAGGGGCAGCTGATAGGGGAAGGATGTTGGGCAGTGGGCAGCGGCAGAGGCGGGGAGTGCGGGGGAGAATGGCGGAGAGAGCAGAAAGCGGAGACCAGCAGGTAAGAGATGGAAGGGGGAAGTTAGATGGTGAGAGGATGGGGTTCAGGGGGGAGCGAAGTTTGCGAAAGGGCCTTGGGAATTGATGAGGTGAAAAATGCTGCGAACTAATTCGCGACACAGCGAAAATCGTTACTTGGTACATCTGAGGCATCGCGCATGATGAAAACTGGGTGGGGTAGAGCCACGTCAGTGTGTTATGAAGAAATGACGGGTGACGTGGCGAGCAGTGGGGCTGCACACGATGGCGAAGCCAGCGTTCCAGGTTTGGTGTGTGAGTGTGTGTAGTGTCGCTGTGTAACTTCGCTTCGTTTTCGCGAACCAATACTTTGCCTAAAAGTTCAGCATGTCAGAAGTGTTCGTCCACCCTCACAAACCGTACCCAACCATTTGTTATTTCTACGAAAGGCTTTAAAACGCAAAGCAGCTCACCTAACCGCAGGAGGAGAACTCTTGCGATGCGCCCTCGCACTAGTAGCCGCCACCACCACTATTTACAAGCTTTCACCTAAACTGGCACACTAGTTTTCCCACATAACCTTCCTCATCCTCCTCCAGTAGTTTTCCGCCTAGCCTGATCGTGATCTGCTGTTGCTAGGCAAAAACAGGCGAAACCAGGAGTCGGATCGGAGCGCCCTTGAGTTTGACACGGCCGTGTGTGGGATAACATACATCACGTTAGAGACTTGCCCAGCACCTCCAACTCCTGGTCGTCAGTGACGGGACTCTCAAGAACGTGTCGATAGAACAGGGAGGCGCCAGTCTTCTCTTGGCTCTGCTTGTCTTTTCCCGCCACATTCTCATTTAAACATACGAGAACCATGCCAGCGGTTACCACATCCTTCGCAAAATCACTCGCGCCATCTCGCCTTTCGTCATTTAGTTCTGCTGAGCTACAAGGCTCTAGCCATGACAGGGTCCAACTTCCAAACCTCTGCGATAGGCTCGGCCCGAGCCTGAGACTCAGATGGAACGGTCAAGCCGCCAGCAGCGGAGCAGGCGACGAGTCACGAGGTCGCGTCGCGGGAATCTCGAGGGTGGCGGTTCGGTGCATGGCGCAGCCGCGGCGCGTGCAGATGGTGGCGCAGCAGATCCACCGCGAAGTTGCGTCGATGCTTCTCAACGACACGACGCTGCGCGCCGCCGTTCAACCCGAGCACGCTCTGGGCGCCGACAAGTTCATGTCGGCTATTGCGACGATCAGCGACGTGGAATTGTCGGCCGACTTGCAGGTGAGCGTTGGGCTTTAAGGCCTCTCCAAGCACGTGTGCAGCACGCTGTGCGCCGACAAAAACATGTCGGCCATAGCGACGATCAGCGACGTGGAGCTGTCGGCTGATCTACAGGTGGGTTCATGAGTCCGAATTGAACGAGCAAGCCACCGTTCAACCCGAGCACGCTCTGGGCGCCGATAAAAACATGTCGGCCATAGCGACGATCAGCGACGTGGAACTATCAGCCGACTTGCAGGCGGGTTTCGGGGTTTGAATCAAGAGAAGATGAGGCGTGATGCGTCGGTTTGTCGCAAGCACGCACCGTTCAGCCCGAGCACGCCCTGGGCGTGGACAAATTCGTGTATGCTATTGCCACGATCAGCGACGTGGAACTGTCAGCGGATTTGTAGGTATGTACGGACGAACTGTGAGAAGGCCCTTAAAGCACGCCCTGGGCGCCGACGAGCTCATGTCGGCCATAGCCCCGATCAGGGACGTCGGGCTGTCGGATGATCTACAGGTGAGAGTCAGATTTCGATCTGTTGAGAACTGGTCCTCTTGAACCCGGAGAGGCGCAACCCAGAGAGGCGCAACCCAGAGAGGCGCAACCCAGTGAAGCGCAACCCAAAACCGGGAGTTTTCTCCCGTTATCTCATGGTTTTGGGTTGCGCCTCCCAAAATCGCATGGTTTTGGTGTACGCAATCCGCGCGGGCAGGCAGTAAAGCGATCAAAACGGGTTTAACCTTGCTGCATAGGCTGCAGCTAATTTTTCTTTTGTTAAAACCCCAACCCCTCACATCAGGTGGCCAAGGTGCACGTGTCAGTCCGCGGCGAATAGAGAGGGCAGGCAGTAGCCATGGAGGGGCCGAGGACCAACGCATCTTACGTGCGGTCTGGGCAGAGCCCGAAGGTGAAGCTGCGACTCACCTCACCCCTGAATCCATTTTTGAGGCGCCTCAAAACTAAACGTGCGGTCAGGGCAGAGCCCGAAGGTGAAGGGGAGGGGATTGAGAGGGGATGGAGGGGCTGAGGGCCAAGCTGCGACTCACCCCTGTCAATCCCCTACCAATTTCTTCCAATCGCCTCGCATCAGGTGGCCAAGGAGTAGTTGTCCGTTTGTGGCGATGAGGAGGGCAGGCAGTGGCGGTGGAGCGGTGGAGGGCCAAGGCGCCGTATGTGTGGTCGGCCAGGGCTGGGGAGGGGAATACCTCCATCGGAGAGGTGCGGAACGTGACTCAAGTTCACTCCTGAATACCCCCCCACTCACGCACACACACACTCACACACACACTCACGCACACACACACTCACGCACACACACACTCACGCACACACACACTCCCCTTACGTACATCAGGTGGCCAAGGTGTATGTGTCGGTGTATGGCGATGAGCGCAGGCAGGTGCTGGCCATGGAGGGGCTGAGAGCCAAGGCGGCGTACGTGCGATCAGGGCTGGGGGGGAGACCGTGAGTGTGCTTCACCCCTGAATCCCCTACCAATCGCTTCCAATCCCTTCCAATCCCTTCCAATCCCTTCCAATCCCTTCCAATCCCCTCACATCAGGTGGCAAAGGTGTATGTGTCAGTATATGGCGACGAGCGCGGGCAAGTCGTGGCAATGGAGGGGCTGAGGGCCAAGGCGGCATACGTGCGATCAGGGGTGGGCCGAAAGATGAAGCTGCGGTTCGCTCCGGAAGTGAGGTTCATTCAAGATGACTCCATGGAGCGAGGGAGTCGGGTAAGTTCACTCCATACCCTGATTAATTCGTGGGTTTACTTGGGTATAGCTGCATATGTGTGCGATCAGGGGTGGGTCGGAAGATGAAGCTGCGGTTCGCTCCGTGGATGACTCCGTGGAGCGAGGGCGTAGGGTAAGTTCACTCCGTGCCCTCACTAATTCGTGTTTAATATCGATTTTGGGCTCATATGTGCAGTCGGGGTTATGTTTGGGGGATGAGACAGCAGTCGACTGTGGAAGTGGGGGTCCACTCAGGATGACTTCATGGGGCAGGGCAGAGGAGTCATTTTTTAAATTTCTAAAAAATGACTCCTCTGTAGGGCAAGTTTGCAATACGTCTAGACGTCCTCTCTCCTGCACCCCCTCCCTCCCCCCCCCCCCCCCCCCCTCCTTCCCCCTTTCCCCCCAGCCCCTTCTCTCTTCTCCAAATGACCACCCACTTGCCTCCAAATCCCCTGCGATTAACCCATGTGTCCGCTACAACAGCTTTCGCCTCAGAGCTGATGTTAAAGCTGTTATCACCACCTCATTGCCTTTCTGAGGCGCCTCAAAAATAGACTCCTTTCGCCTCAGAGCTGATGTTGGAGCTGTTATCACCTCATTGCCTTTCCCCTTCTCACGCCCTTCCCTTTAACGGCATCCCCACATCCACCCCTCGCTTCCCTTCTCTCCCCTTCTTTCCCTTCGTTTCGCTTTCGCGCCTTGAAGCAGAGCAGCATTTTAGCACGTCGTTTGTCAGGACTCCGTTCCCCCTCATCCTCCTCCCCCCTTCCCCCACTCCCTCCCCTTCCCCCCATCCCCCCCACCAGGTTCTCTCCATCCTCTCGCGCCTCAAAGCAGAGCAGGAGGCTCGGGAACGGGGGGAGCCTCTCCCGTCGAACCTGTCTCCCGTGGCTGTTGGTGCGTATGACGATGAGGAGGAAGAGGAGGAGGAGCTCGGGAGGGCAGTAAGGGCGCAGAGGAAGCCGAAGAAGGGGCAGGCGGAGGGCATTGTGGGGGGGAAGGGGGGGAAGAGTGGGCGGGTGCAGGGGAAGGGGGGAAAGAAGGGGGTGGGGAGTAGGTGGGAGGGGGATGATGGGGTGAGCATTTCGGATTTTGGGGAAGACGAGAATGTTTTTTTGGTTTGAGGAAAGTGTGATTGACGGTGATAGTGCTGAAGGGGAACTGTAAGGAACTAGTCATTCCTTACTGAGGCTTGCTACAGGGCGTACGACTCGAACTGTCCCGAACCAGCGATAGGGTTCCAGACCTTTCAGTTTGAGCCTCCTGGGCCTTTCCGGACCTCGCTTTGACACATCAAAGCCCTTAGACACTTTTCCCAGACCTTCCGATCATACGTCCAGGATTGCCCTAGGTCTCCTATATATTGTATTGAGAAAGCTTGCTTTCTTGTCCTTTGCGAGAGGCATCGTTCTCATTTCAAGTGGGCTAGGTACAATACTCGCTTACTAGCTTATAAGAATCTAAACATGCACACATCATGATCCTGGTTGTGCGCTCCCGTTCGAGTGACCGGCTGTCCATTGGAGATGCGCGGTTTGTCAAACATGTGTATTTGTCATGTTTGTATAGACTGTATAGGGTCACCTCTTAGAGGGTACAACACTTAGGTATATTTGTGTGTACTCTCACTTTACCATTATTCAATTCTAATTCTGATATGGTATCACGCGTAGGTAGGATCCCCCCCCCACCTACCGCTTCCGCTCACCCCCCTAGCGCCCCTCCTGGGCCCCGTAGCGCCCCTCCTGGGCCCCGTCGCGCCAGGCCCCGTCGCGCCCCTCCCAGGCCTCGTAGCGCCCCTCCTGGGCCCCGTCACACCCTTCCTGGGCCCTGTAGCGCCCCTCCTGGGCCCCGTCGCGCCCCTCCCAGGCCCCGTCGCGCCCCTCCTGGGCTCCGTAGCGCCCCTCCTGGGCCCCGTCGCGCCCCTCCTGGGCCCCGTAGCGCCCCTTCTGGGCCCCGTCGCGCCCTCCCTGGGCCCTGTAGCGCCCCTCCTGGGCCCCGTCGCGCCCCTCCCAGGCCTCGTAGCGCCCCTCCTGGGCCCCGTCGCGCCCTTCCTGGGCCCTGTAGCGCCCCTCCTGGGCCCCGTCGCGCCCCTCCCAGGCCCCGTCGCGCCCCTGCTGGGCTCCGTAGCGCCCCTCCTGGGCCCCGTCGCGCCCCTCCTGGGCCCCGTAGCGCCCCTCCTGGGCCCCTTCGCGCCCTCCCTGGGCCCTGTAGCGCCCCTCCTGGGCCCCGTCGCGCCCCTCCCAGGCCCCGTAGCGCCCCTCCTGGGCTTCGTAACGCCCCTCCTGGGCCCCGTCGCGCCCCTCCAGGGCCCCTATAGCGCCCCTCCTGGGCCCCCGTCGTGCCCCTCCTGGGCCCCTGTAGCGCCCCGTCCGCCTTCAGGCCCCGTCGCGCCCGCTCGGCCCCGTCGCGCCCGCCCGGCCCCGTCGCCCCAGCCCGGCCCCGTCGCACCAGCCCGGCCCCGTCACGCCCGTCCGGCCCCGCTGCACCCGCCCGGCCCCGTCGCAGCCGCCTGGCCCCGTTGCACCCGCCCGGCCGCCGTCCCGCTCGCCCGGCCTCGTCGCACCGGCCCGGCCCTGTCGCACCCGCCCGGCCCCGTCGCCCCTGCCCGGCCCCGTCGCGCCCGCTCGGCCCCGACGCCCCGGCCCGGCCCTGTCGCACCAGCCTGGCCCCGTCGCGCCCGCCCGGCCTTGTCGCGCCCGCCCGGCCTTGTCGCGCCCGCCCGGCCCCGTCGCCCTTGCCCGGCCCTGTCGCACCTGCCCGGCCCCGCTGCCCCGGCCCCGTCATCCTCACTGGTACGGTTCCCCCCCACCCTGCCCTGCACTGCCCTGCACCGTACCGCCCTGCACCACACTGTACTGCCTTACACCGCACTGCACCGCACTGCACCGCACTGTACCGCACTGCACCGCACTCCACCTAGCTGCGCTGCCCTGCACCGCACTGGACTGTTCGTGATGGCGGCGGAGCTTCGCTTCGACGCTGAAGGTCAGCCCCTAGAGTTCGAGGCGTGGCTTGCTGACCTCCGCCGCCAACTCACTGGCCAGCGGCAGGATGGTGAACCGCTTTCCGCCCACCTTGACGGTACGCTCCCCTGCCCAGACCCCCCTGCTATTCTGCCCGCTGACCCCACACCCACTGAGCGTGAGTCTACTGCTGCCACTGCCCGTGCGCGCTCTGTCTGGCTTTCTCGCGATGCTGTCGCCCAGCTTGCCATTAGCAACGCCCTCCCCCCGTCCGAGCGTCCTCGCTTTAGGTCCCTCACTACTGCTCAGGCATACTTAGATGCTGTCATCAAGCGCTATTCCACCCCTCCGGCTGCCTCGGTGGGTCGCCTGATACTCCCGATGCTCTTTCCTGACCTTGCATCTTTCCCCACTGTCTCTGACCTCGCTGCCCACCTGCGCTCGATAGAGGAGACCTGGCGCGCTGCCTGCACTGACGCACAGCTTCGAGCCCACCAGCCGCCCATTACCTCTACCCTCTACCTGCTTGCCACCCGCCTCCCTGACCGCCTTGCTGTTGCCCGCGACCGCTTCCTTAGCCTTCACCCCGCCGACCTCACCCTCACTGACTTTGTAGACACCCTGACTGTGATAGAGACCCGTCACCGCTCCATCGCCCAGGCGAGCGGTGTCGTGCCTGTCCCTATCTTTCAGGGTTGTGCCCCCGCCCAGTGTACCTTCTGCGACGGCTCTGCCGCAGTGGCTGAGACTGCTGCTGCCGCGCAGTTTCGTTCGGGGAAGGGCCGCCGCCCCAAGGTTGGGCGCGGCGGAGGCGGCGGCGGGGGTGCGGGAGGGGGTAGTGGTGGGGTCGGGTCGTCTGGTGCTGGAGCGGACGAGGGGACCCTGCCCAGTTCAGCTGAGCCGCCGCCCCTGCAGTTGCAGCAGCCGCAGCAGCCGCCGCAGTCGCAGCCTTCGCAGCAGCCGCAGCAGCCGTCGCAGACGCGGCAGACGAGTGTCCTCCCGCCCGGGTGGCCCGGCGCTGGCGGTGGCCGGGCGCGTGGTGGTGTGTCGAGTGGTAGCTCTGGCGGCGGGCGCTGTCAGTACCAGATCCAGACCGGTCCTCGCCGCGGCTTCGTTTGCGGTAAGATCGGTCACTCCACTCCCCGCTGTTTTCGTCGCCTGGACGACCTCTTTCGTCAGCGCTTCGGCCCGTCGCCAGATCTCCCGGACTGGCACAGTTTGCTTAGTCGTAAGATTCAGATTTTTGATATGGACATGGATGCCATTGTTTCTGCACTGCATGTGATGTATGCTGATGACTCTAGTATGCTTCCAGCTTATTACTCACTGTTGCCTAGTGTAGGTGTGCCTAGTGTACCCTCCCCTGCTGCGTCAGGCGTAGGATCCTCTGCTTTGTGTAGTCTTGGTGCTTCCGCCGTCGTTCCGTCGCCAGACGCCTCTGCATCGCTTTCCTTCACCTTGGACTTTGGCGCTTCTCGGTGTTTCTTCCGTGACTCCACCACCCTGACGCCGCTTCCTGTCCCTGCTGCCGTTTCTCTCGCTGACCCCTCTGGCGGTCCGGTAGTCGCCCGCAATTCCACCACCCTTCCCTGTCCGGCGGTTCCTTCGGGCTCTCTTACAGGTCTGCATATCCCCTCGTTCTCCAGGAACCTCGTTGGTGTCGGCTGCCTCCAGGACCTTGGCGTCACCACTACGTTCCCTGGTCACGCGCGGTATGCTGTCTGTACCGAGGCTGCCACTGGTGCCCCCCTGTCCACGTTCCCCTGGGACCCGGTGTCCAGCCTGTTCACTCTGGACACCGCGACCCCCCCGGCTGGAGCGCTCACCCAGGTTGCTGCCGCCTGCTCCTGTCGGTCCCTCACTCACCCGACTCTCCTTTGGCACCACCGCCTAGGTCACCCTGCGCTCCCGCGTCTGCGACACATGTCCCAGCACGGTCTTGTCCTTGGTCTCCCACGTTCTCTCCCCGTGTTTCCCTCCTCCCCCGCCCCCCCTTGTACGCCTTGTGTCGAGGGTCGGCTTCGCCGTGCCCCTCACTCCTCCTCGTTTCCCCTTACCGCCGCGCCGCTGCAGACCCTGCACCTGGACGTCTAGGGCCCCGCCCCCGTCCCTGGGCCGCGTCGAGAGCGCTACTTCCTTGTGCTTGTCGACTACTTCACTCGTTACACCACCGTCTTTCCCCTGGAGCGCAAGGCCGACGTGCCTGGCGCTCTCATCCCCTGGCTTGTCTCTGCGCGTGTCCACCGCGGTCTCCCTGTCTTACGTCTTCACTCAGACCGTGGTGGCGAGTTTGCCTCAGGTGTCCTTGGTCGCTTTTGTCGTGCGGAGGGCATCACCCAGACGTTTACCCTACCGGACTCCCCACAGCAGAATGGGGTCGCTGAGCGACGCATCGGTCTGGTCATGGAGGTGGCTCGCACCTCCATGATCCATGCTGGTGCACCCCATTTTCTGTGGCCGTTCGCTGTGCGCTACGCTTCTCACCAGCTTAACTTGTGGCCGCACCCTCAGCAGCCGCAGGTTTCGCCGACCCGTCTTTGGACTGGGTCTCCTGGTGACGCGTCCGCGTTCCACGTCTGGGGCTGCCTTGCTCACGTCCGTGCCTCCGGCACGGACAAGCTCACTTCCCGCACCCTTCCCTGCGTCTTCCTCGGTTTTCCCCTTGACGCGTCCGACTGGCACTTTTACCACCCCCCGTCTCACCGCTTCTTTCACTCTCGTGACGTCACCTTTGACGAGTCCGTTTCCTACTACAGTCGCTTCCCCCACCGCGGTCCCCCGGTTACCCCCCCCCTGTTTCTGGTCACTCCTTCCCCGGTATTCCCTGCCCCTCCTCCTCCTCCTCCCCGTCCCGCCCCCTCTGGTGTGTCCAACGTCACCCCCCTTCCGTCGGAGGACCCGGTTGAGGAGTCTTCTGACTCTGGTAGCCCTCCTGTGCAGTCCTCGCCGGCCGCCCCTCCCCCGGCGTCCCCTCCCCAGTCCCCTCCTCCACCGCCTCTGCCGCCGCTGCAGCCGCCGTTGTCGCTGCCGCCGCAGCCGCTGCCGCAGCCGCCGCCGCCGCCGCCGTCGTCGCAGCCCCCGTTCGCTGACTCTGGGGGTGCTCGTCCCGGTCGCCCTGGGGGTGGCCCCTCTGGGGGTGCTGGTGTGGAGAGTGCCGGTGGTAGCCGAGGAGCAGCTTGCGGTCCAGGTGTCGCCGTTGTACCGCCGCAGCAGCAGTCCCCGCCGGTGTCAGCCCTTCGCCTGCTCGGCCTTCCGTCCCCGGACCCTGAGTCTGTTCCTCTCCTCACGTCTCCTCCTCTTCCTGTCTACGGCCCTGTTTTCCCCCCGCCGAACTCGTCCCCGGCCCGTCTCCCCCCTCGTTCCCCTCCTGTGTCCCCTCCCCTGTCTCCTGATCCGACTCCTCCGTCGCACGTCTGGTCTAACCGTCCCTCTCGTGCTCGTCCTGCCTCGCCTGTCTTGCGCTCCCACCCTATGTTGCTTCGTTCCCACGCGTCTCGCCCTCCCCTTCTGCCCTC